TCTCTCTCTCTCTCTCTCTCTCTCTCTCTCTCTCTCTCTCTCTCTCTCTCTCTCTCTCTCTCTCTCTCTCTCTCTCTCTCTCTCTCTCTCTCTCTCTCTCTCTATATATATATATATATATATATATATATATATATATATATATATATATATATATATATATATATATATATATATATGTATATATATATATATATATATATATATATATATATATATATATATATATATATATATATATATATATATATATATATATATATATATATATATATATAAATATATATATATATATATATATATATATATATATATATATATATATATATATATATAGATAAATATATATATATATATATATATATATATATATATATATATATATATATATATATATATATATATATATATATATATATATATTTCAATTCCCTTTTCGCATGCATTAGACACTCTTACATTGCATTTAAATTCAATTAGCAAGGTCCATAATCCAATTACCCTAAGTGCCTTTCACTTAATTATTCCACGAGGAGTAGATATTTTTCTGCTTTTAATTAAGCATTAACAGTTTTGGTGCTGCAAGAAGTTTTTTTTTTTCTTAAAAGCTGATCGGAACAGAGTAGCGACTTAATTAAATTTCTTTTCTGTTTTTAGGTGTATCCTCTAAATGTTATTTCATATGTATCACACAATACTGTGTTTGTTCGTTCGTATGGAATATCTTCATAAGACTTGCTAGGAAATGGAAAGCTACTTGTTTGTCCACTTATTAGCTGCCTTGTCTGTAGCAAAAAGAAATATATACCCGTATATATTAATTTCGCATCAAAGAGGAATGTGAATACTACATAAATTTCATAACACAGTCTTTTGCATATATCTGTAGAGTGGGCTTCTCTTCTTCAGATATTTGTTTTCTAACCAGAAATGCCTTCAAAAAGCACAAAAATAATAATAATAGAAAAAAAAATAATAACAATAATAATAATAATAATAATGATAATCATAACTATAATAATAGTAATTATAACAATAATAATAATAATAATAATAATAATAATAATAATAATAATAATAATAATAATAATAATAATAATAATAATAATAATAATAATAATAAAAATAATAATAATAATAATAATAATTATTATTATTATTGTTATTATTATTATTATTATTATTATTATTATTATTATTATTATTATTATTATTATTATTATTATTATTATTATTATTATTATTATATATTATTATTATTATTATTATTATTATTATTATTATTATTATTATTATTATTATTATTATTATTATTATTATTATTATTATTATCATTATTATTATTACTATTATTATTATTATTATTATTATTATAATATTATTATTATTATTATTATTATTATTATTATTATTATTATTATTATCATTATTAGTGCCCTGTTGTGGCGGGCAGTGCCCTGTGGTGGCGGGCACAACATCAAAGAATTGTCCCATCATATTCCCTGCTTGTTGTAAGAGGCGACTAAAAGTGGATGGGGCGAGGGGAAACGGAATCCCCCCGTGTATTAACCTCCAGCGAGACGTCAAATAAGAAAGGGAGTAGTGGGAGAGTACCTTTTCCCCAAACACTTGTAGTGGGATGTCTAAATATGCGTGGTTGTAGTATGATAGAGAGCAAAAGATGTGAGATTGGATGTATGTTTGGTAGGAGGAAGATGGATGTATGGCATTATGTGAGACGAAGATGAAAGGAAAAGGAGAAGTGGCATTTAGGGTGTCAGGGTTTGAAAGGGGAAGAGCAAGAGGAGTGTGGCATTATTGCTGATTGAATGGATGGTAAATAAGGTAGTGGAATGGAAAAAAATGTCATATAGGCTGATGTGTGTGACGGTTAGGATGGGTAGGGAATGTTGGACTCTTGTTAGTGCGTATGGGCCAGGATGTGAGAGAAGTGAGGAAGAGCGGGATGACTTCTGGAATGAGTTAACTAGGTGTGTGGATTGTCTGAGTAGAAGGATCTATGTAGTTTTGTTGGGTGACTTGAATGCCAGAGTGGGTGATGGAGAGGTAGAAGGTGTTGTAGGAAAGTATGGAGTAACAGGCGGGAATGAGAGTGGTAGGAGACTGTTAGATATGTGTGTGGAGCAAGAGTTGGTGATAGGTAATAGTTTTTCAAGATGAAGTTAATAAATAAGTATACATGGGTGAGAATGGCAAATAGAAGAGTGAAAGAAAGAGCATTGATGGATTATGTGTTGGTAGCAAAGTGAACGATTGGTAGAGTGAAATATGTGCATGCATTTAGGGGTGTAGCTGATCATTTTTTGGTTGAAGCAAAAGTGGTAGTAGTAAAAGAGTGGGGAAATAGAGGGGGGGTTAGAAGTGAAGTGGTAAAGGTGGAGTAGTTGAAAAAGCCAGAGAAGAAACATGAATATCAGGGCAAGTTGAAAGTGACATATGACAAGGTGAAAGAAAGAGAAGTTGGGGAGTTAGAGGAGGA